TTCTCTTTTGCTGCAGCGGCTCTGCAGGGCTGCTTTGTCTCAAGTCTTTTCTGCTGCGGCGGTTCTTTGGGCCGCTTTGTCTGCTCTTGCTGAAGTACGCAAGAAACATCAATTTTTGGCACCGGCCTGCGACACCCAAAGTGCCTCCTCTTGACCCAGCCGTCTGCGCGCAGAAATGGGTCAGTCTTAAGCATTCCAGGGGCTTCCCAAAATATAACCCCTATATAGTATAGTAGTCTACTTGAGGGAGACTATACACCTCCTAAGGCATGGCCGCACTGTTTAAGTCCATGGTCACAGCCTACGCGGAGCTTCCAGATGGAGGTGTCTTTAGGGTTCAGGGTTTAGGGTTTGGGGTCTAAGGTTCAGGGTTTGGGGTTTAGGGTTTAGGGGGCTTTGGGGCCGAGGGGCGGTTCTTCTACAGTTTGAACTTGCAGGCTGTTGTCGTGTGGAAAGCAACGACTGTGGTTGATGTGCGTGATGCTGTCAAAAGGGCTTCTTCTACATTGAATAATAGTAGGTCTCCTGCCTTACTGGTTCTTGGCAGGGAACATGGGAGTATATAGCATAGGGAACAAACTCCCGCATCCCCTACTAACCTCCAGCAGGTTTTTCTAGAGCTTAAGACTTAAGAGTACAGAACTTCAGGATAAGCAGTTGCCGCGTATCTTGGTCAATTGCTTTACATCGAATTTCCTGCCGGTGCTCTCAAAGCCTAAGCCCAGCACCAGAAGGCTCAAAGGAAAAGGGCTAGATGGAAGGTTCCAGGAAAGGATTATCCAGGCATATATATATGTGCTATAGTCTAAATTCCTTCATGGGGGTTATATAGGGGAGTATTATAGGGGTTCTCAATGGGATACAGGGAGTTTTGATTATGGTATATATCAGGAAAGTCAAGGTTTCGTACGGCATCACCTTAGTGCTCCAGATTTTGCAGGCAACTGCTCTGCCCTGCTTGCTTTGATTGAAAGTAAACCCCTAAATCTTAAAACCGAAGCCATTGGCACTACCCCCACTCTGTAACAGTTGGATAGTATTTATACTATAGTTATATAGAGCCTCTCATATAGACTGTTACAGGTTAGAGGGTGGTCAGACACTGAAGAAACACGTCGGCTTTATGCCCGTACTGGGTAAGACAATGGGAGGAGGCTATGGAGAGTGGACGTATAGAGCCCCTCCGACCTCTTCCCGTACATCGGGAAACAATGTACATTGATTTTCCCCTTCATGGGAATACCCAAAACCCACCGTAAAAGCCCCACAAGGACGGAACCAGTATTTCGGTGACCTCTTAAGGGGGTTCTTGCACAGGTCTTGACCCCTGGCTGCAGCAAATTCGCAGGGCGAGGGCCTTGAGGCCAGGGGGTCCCTGACTGGAGGCGCTGAAAGTTCTGGAGGTTCCCAAGCACCTGCAGGAGAAACCTTCTGAAGCCTGCACCTGGAGGCCCTGCAGGCCCCTGGAGGCTCCTGGAGGCCCTGGAGGCCATTGGAAGGCTCTGGAGGCCCGCCCGTCCTTCACGTGTATCTTCTTGTCAGAAGAAGCGAGAACTTTTGGAGGTGGGAATTGAGGGCGTAGCCCTAAACCCTAACAGGAAGTAATTCGGGTGGTAGCCTGTGATGTCTCACAGCGGGTGGGGTATTTTGAAGAAAGCCCAGTTTCGATGGCTTCTTGGGCAACAGCAACGACGTTCGCTGGGCGCAGGATGTGCCGCCACCCACAGATCCCTGGAAGTGGGGTGGCGCCATCGGCGCGTGGATACTCAGCCCTGCGGAGGTCGACCACTCTAAACCCTAAATCCTAAACCCTGAACCCTAAACCCTAAATCCTAAACCCTAAACCCTTAACCCCTCAGGTTGGATCTGAACTTGGGCATTGGCTGCAGACTTGCGAGCATCACAAGTGAGGAGCCGGATTTGGGGGCTTTACCAAGGTTTAGGGTTTAGGGTGTAGGGTTCAGCATCTCAAGTCCAA